GAATCAGCTCTTTGTCGGTTATCACGAACATTTCCACCGCAGATGAATGCATTCAACTAGTAGGGAATTAACAATCTCCCATGGAGTGAAACCCAAACCCAAGACCATCAAGAGTGCTTGATGCCTCTCAATAATTGAATGGGCTAATCCAATGTTGATACTCTAAAATACAAAGATACAATTTTCAGGAGGGAGAAGCGGCCAATCAAAGGATTGCCATTCAGCACACATAGGGGGGGGGAGGGGGGATTCAGGCGGTGGTGGTGAGATTCGAACACACGTCCCCGCTGGGTGATAATTTGGTGACGTTACCACCGGACTGAAGAAAATCTTTTGCTTCCGATTATCTTGGAGATAGAGAGAAAGAGAGAGGAACTGTGGATAAATAAGTATGTATGTCAAAAAGAAACAGGTCCGGAGAGAACATGTAACAGACGGATATAGTAACCACTTGACATAGTATTATCTACCGTGTGATTGTTCCATGTACTTGTCCCTCTCACCTGTAACTTCAACCAAGTAAACTCCCTTTGATCCTTTAAGCGATCTGATCGGATCATTATTTTCCGTGATTTGCGCAACTTAGAATCGCTCAACCTGACTCGAGAGACTGTAGAAGTAGTATTACGATGCTCTTTTGGTCACCTAAAATCCAGCAGTGTGATAGTGACACGCCTGCTGTGCACACAGTCGAATTTCACGGGGGGGGCATGCTGAAGACTCGATGTTATGTTCAAGGTGCGGGCTCTCGCTCGGATTAGTTGGGCAAACGTCCCAACCCCTTGTTGCAGCTGAACGATCCGGCCAATTGAAAAACGAACCCAATCGATTATGCGATTGTCGGACCTGCACCGGAGAATAGGTTATGAATCCTACGTTGCTTAAAACGAGTGTGACAATAAAAATACTCATTGAAACTCTTTAGTGAATATACAATTATAAAAACAACTTCCAAGAAGAGGATGAATTTCGGCCATTTAAGGGCCACCTGGGAGCACATGGAGAAGTAGAAAAGGTCCAGCGGTGGTCGTGCGATCCAAATTCTCAACCTTCAAGTCCGAGTGATGTTCACTTTCACCACGACCGCCTAGTCTAAAGACCACTGCAGTACGGAATGAATATTCCTGTAGCAAATATTCATAATTCAAGTCCTAATTTCCGGCAGATTTACGCGAGAGCTTGTAGCACAACAACAATTTGTTGATTGTTGCATCATTTGTTGGCTACCAAGTGTGACAGTATTCAAATAGTCCACACCAAACCACGGACTCGAGCTGTACACTATTAGCCAACCATAGGAAGGAACACTGTCGTTTACCTGTGAGCATTTGGAGGTCTTAGGTGATTCAGCAACCGCGAAGTAGAGCAATCCCATTGGTTTTCAATACACACACACACACACAACGGAATTCAGTGCACTTTGTGCGAACCACTTTCGTACATTTTGCTAGGAGGATTCCATTTTAACCGCATTCACAATGCAGTTAAAACACCGATGATAATCCGAATACAATTCACAAAAGCATGAAACGGAAAGAAACCGCTTTTGGCATGACACGGTGGTGCACGATCGGATTCAGAGGCAATCCCCGACGGAAACCGTATGGCTATAAATGCCGTATCGTGATAGATGCCATACCTAGCAAATAAGTGTGTGCTGTGTTGCAGCGGCGAGGCTCGAAACCGGGTCTAACGGTGTATGTAACAGTTAACGATAGATAACATTTGTCCGAAATAATCACCATCGCTCAACGATGCATTAGACCAAAATGTGATGATGCGGGTGAAGTGCATGGATAATCACGTAGCATCTCAGGGTAAAACATGTGCAAATATGCGACCAGATTGCAAAGTAAACAGAGTGGTAACAGCCGGTTTGTTAACCTAGCGCTTGATGAGGATGGAAAATTGTTATGCATGTTACATAACATACACATTATGTGAAGAAAGATGGTGCACTTTTGGTCACAGTTTCCATGAGAACTCGAATTCCGCCGTTCAGTTCAGTTCAGTGTTTACTATCATTAACCATGCACTTTCGTGCGCCGGTTTGGATTGCTGTCTTTTGGATAAAAGAGCGGAATGAAGATTGGAATGTTGAAAGCAAATTCAAGCCGAAGATAAAGAATTCATGTAGAATGGTGTTCGGGGAATAACCAGCGCCATTGTTTGCAACACCCAGCCATATCGCTTAGTGTCTCTAATCATTGGTGACCATCATCCCGAGGTCTCCAGCCAAGGAGCCTGACGGGGCCTATGTGACCGAGTTTCCTGGTCAGGGTTTTTATACCCTCATGCCAGGTCTTAGTTTGACCACCCTCGGCCTTTTACCAATCGACGCCTGCCTCGACAAATATCGCTCGCCGTGGCAACCTATCTGGTGACATGCGCAGCACACGGTCCAACAAGTGTTATCTATGCAGGGGATTACCACGATTACCTAAAACTCTACGCCTGACCTCAGCATTGCTCGTCCGGCTGCCTCACCAGACTCACGCAATGCTACGTAGTCAGCGGTGTTCGAAAACCGACAATCTATTATTATCCTGTTCTCGTAATGGCCAAGTTTCTGCTCCATATAGCAGAACTGGCCGAACTGCTGCAGCATATACTCGACCCTTCACAGACGGCCGGATGTCGCGACAGTGCCACAAATGTTGGCAAATGGCAACCGAGCCTTCTGTATACGCGTCGACACTTCATCTGTGATGTGTCCACCAGGTGAGATATAGCTGCCCAAATAGAAAAATTTGTCTACTTGCTCGACAAAATCCCCTGTCAAGATGAGACTGGGTGCTGGACTAACCCAATCCTGTAGTAACGTTTTACACTCTGGTAACGCATACCGTTACTCAAGGGCTGATTACAAACGATATCGAGTCAAACCTATTCAAGTTCACAGCATTACACGGTGTTTGGACAGACAGCAATACATGGACCACAGAGAAGGCAGACACATCTACCACCGATGGAACATCGCTCCCAAACAACTGCGGAATCGAAGCACGTTCACGATACCATGCTGGTACGTGGTATCGTCACACAAATCAATCACGTATCCAATCTTGGATGATACATTAGTGTACTAGCGAACGGGTTGGTAATCTGGAGGTTAGCCGCCGTGTGTTTGGGAATTTATCAGGGATAAACCTGCTAGCACACCGAACAAAGATTAGTAGACTTCGTTGACCAAGGCACGCAATGCTTATGCCCAGCTACCGGCTAACACATCGTGCCTGGTTCGCTGTAGCCGCTACGGGCTGGAAGAAACCGCGTGGAGGTCATCAGATTACGTGGAAATGGGGCATGAAGAAATGCACAGAGCGATTGGACAGACTACGTGTCACGCGCCTTCCAGATTGGGGCCTGAAACACTCCACCACTGGTTGAATGGAGACATTGAAGGATATTGCAGCGAACCGACATCGGTGGCGTTCTTGATGTCATTTCTTATCAGGTCAGAATGCCTGAGACGGTGTGAATGCTGAGTTCGATTATGTACTCTGTATGTCAACGATACAGGTTCCCCTTCTTCACCCTCCTTCAAAATAGGTCCAATCCCTGTCGACCTTAGATATTACCACTTACCTTGTACGCATTGCGAGTTTGACAGCGATTAGTGAAGTTTGCCTCACTATATTTCGGTGTACGACGATGATGGACCCTGGCATTAATTATCATTGATAAACGGCTATTGGGAAGTGAGTAAATGAAAGAAAAAAACGATAATAAGAAGGACGAGACAGTGAGTTAGTTGAGTTTGTACAATAGGCGATTGTTGATATTCGTGTTCTGTGCTTGTGTATTCGCTTGGGAAGAGTTATGGATATCAAAGGCAAAATAGTATGGCGAACAAGCTTGTGTTTCGTAACTTCGTTTTCAGGCTTTTACAGTTGTGTGTGCGTATTTATAACTCATGTAGAAATAAACGTGGTTGGACCATAGAGGTTATGTGTGAAAATGCAATAATGTCTGTCAAGTTTAATCAGGACCAGTGGATAAAATGGGGACAGTGGATGAAAGGGAGTGGGGGGGAGGTCAATTCTGGAATTTTCGGTGACCTTTCTTTTCATGTGCCATTTGTCACGCCATGTTGCGTCACCATGATANGGTCATGGTTCGGGTCATCACGTAGGTTTGATTGAGACCAAGGCAGCTGAAGTGCGGCAACCATATTCTTCTGTTTGCACAGTGGTGGGTTCATGATTTTGATTGCTACAGCTTCCGCTGTTGACAAGTGACGTATCCGAACTTGCTTTGATTTGTTTTGGGGTACTTTGTTGATAACTTTGAAAGCATCGTTGTCTGGCTGATGTCCGGTATCAGCGATGTGGCTCATAATCGCACTGGTTATTGTCTTCTTGCAATTCGTTCTCAGCCAAGCCGGTTTATGTTCTCTGATCCTTTGGGAGAGCTGCCTCATCGTTCGTCCTACATAACTTGCCGAACATGTGCAAGT